ACCACAAATTTATTTTCTCTTCACTATGATTTTAATATTTTTTCTCTAAATTACTTTATTGTTAGAATATAGTACATAATGTATCACCTGTTTACCTTATTGGTAATACAGCTTCCGGTCGACTGTAGGCTATTAGTAGTTAAGTTTTGGGGGAGTCAAAAGTTATACATCGATTTTGGGGGAGTCAAAAGTTATACATGGATTTTTGGGGGAGTCTGGAGGAGTCAAAAGTTAAACATGGAGTTTTGACTATGTGGGGAGTTGATGCCCCTAACCTGTAATTCATTATGCTGTATTTCTGTTGTTTTAAAATTTTGCTTATAAAGGTGTTAATTCATTAATTCAGAGTAATACTGTAAAACAATACTCTGACTTGTATTTGCTACATTTTGAATATTTGGAGAAATTACTTTTGAGGGGGACTTTGTATAATTGAACCATTTGAGTTACTAATAATCACATTGACAAATTCAGAAAATTTCCCCACCAACACTGAAATTATCCATCAGAATCACAGTAGATTCCCTATGTCACATGCAAAAATACCTTCCAAGTTCTATATCCATATATTTCAATCAGGTTCAAAAGGGAGGAAGGGATGCAAAAGTAAAACTGTAATAACAATTTTATTTTATTTTTTTTTTATTTTTTTATTTTTTTTTTTAAAGATTTTATTTATTTATTTGACAGACAGAGATCACAAGTAGACAGAGAGGCAGGCAGAGAGAGAGAGGGAAGCAGGCTCCCCGCTGAGCAGAGAGCCCGACGCGGGACTCGATCCCAGGACCCTGAGATCATGACCTGAGCCGAAGGCAGCGGCTTAACCCAGTGAGCCACCCAGGCGCCCTGTAATAACAATTTTAAATACCATACTCCACTTTCCCTGAAATTTTTGTCTTTGAGTTAGTATAATGGTCTAAATTTTGCCCAAAAAAAAACTAAGAAAAATATTTCTTCAGTCTTCCAAAAATTTAAATACTTCTTGGGTTTTCAACTCAAATTATATGTAATTACAAACCTATAATAAAGCACAAGGTTAGCAAAACAAAAAAATTAACCTCAAATAAATATAATTTTATCTTATGTTATAGTACCTTTGTTCTACTCACTTTTTTCAGCTTGCTAAGAAGACTCTAGATTTCTTTTCAATGTTTAAAAGCAACTGATATTTTCATTTCCTCTTCCCTTTAAAAATAGTAGAAAAATCTATTTTAAAATAGAGGCAAAAGCTCCTTGAAACATTTTTCCTCACCTCAAAACAGACCTATACTTGGTATATATTTTTTTACATTTTTAAAATGGGAGAGGATCATAATGAAACAATTTTCTTTTTATAACTAGGTCTGACAGAGTGACATATCCATGGGAAACACAGGAAAAATACGTGTGTGTAATTTTTATACATATATATACATATGTGTGTATATATATATATGACACACCATTGCCTTATATAGTACCCCTAATTTAAAAGACTGCATTAAATTCACTTATCTATTATCTATATCTATTATTTTAGATACAGCAATTACTATCATTTAAGATAAAACAATACTGATGTTCAAAGTACTTCTGTAGATAATACGGAAGATAAGTGTTTGCCCCATAACCAGATAACTACAGGCAACAACTAAGCACACAAACCAGAAACATAAATAATATACTATTCATTATGAACAAGTTCTAGTCAGGCTTCATATCATACTTAATGGCTAAAAACTAAAGAGCACCTAGCAGAAGAAATAAATGCTTTCGTGTGAATCAAAAAGGTTCACTTAGCAAATCCTCAGCAATACTGACCATAAAGACATTACACATCAGCCTCTTCCTTAAGATTCTTAAGATTCTATCTCCTTGGTCTGCTTCAGAGAGCTCACTATAGGTTGATTACATACATTTATGCTGCTTCTCAAGAGAAGCAAAGTTCATAGCTTTGCATGTGATGGCATCCTTGACAGGATGACAGGATGTCTCAAATACACAGAGGTACCCAATGTGCACTTTCCAACTTACACATAGGAATATGCTTGCTTTCTATAATGTGTATTTAAGAAGAGCTCAAGACTTTCTTAATAAAATTTAGATGGCAATGAAATTTTCTAAGTCATGAAAGACTATCTGAAAGCTATTAAATAAATTCTATCTTAATTACTGTAATTTTAAGTACACCTTATTTTGAATAATTCAAATAATATCTTTAAGCAAATTTATAATGTACAGAGTTTAGCCTTGCCAATATGGAAACTTAATTTAAAAAAAGAGAAAGAAAAGAAAACTATTCAAAGCCTCTAGCCAGAGATAAAATTGTAAATCATTTTAGGCTTTCTAACAAAGTACTTAAATTTTCATACAAAACCATAACTCTTCTTTCCTTAAAAATATAGTCTCTAGTAGAATACCAAACTAGAAAAGAGATCTGAATAAATCATACCTAAAGCATGATCTTTCAGTGTAAAATATTTTCCCACAGACCCAAGGAGACCAAAAACTATGACATATAACCCCAAAACAGAAGCCTAGGGACCCAGGATATGAAAAACATAAGAGACCAGATCAGCAAAAGAAGCATAAGCTCACAATCACATAAGATAGAACATCTATACAAAAGTTTTAAAAATAAAAAATAAATACAGGCCATAGAATTAAGTTAAAAGTGAAAAGTCAGTACATTTTCATGAAAGGACATAAAAACTTTGTGAATACGGTAACCACTATATAAATATAGGCCTACACCAGAGATATTGTGGGTTCAGTTCCAGACCACTACAATAAAGCAAATATTGCAACAGTGAGTCAAATGAATTTTGTGGCTTCCCAGTACATATAAAAATTACATTTATATTACACAGTAGTCTATTAAGTGTACAATAGCATTATATTTTTTTTTTCAAATTTCTTTTTGAGTTTCTATTTACTACAATAGCATTATATTTTAAAGAAACAATGTCTATATCTCCATTTTAAGATATTTAAATTAATTTAAATTAATTTAAAAAATTTTTATTGCTAAAAAATGCTAACCATCATCCGAGCTTTCAGCAAACCTTAATTTTTTTGCTGGTGGAGGGTCTTGCCTTGATGTTGATGGTTGCTGACCGATCAAGGTGGTGGTTGCTGAAGGTTGGGGTGGTTGTGGCCATTTCTTAAAATAAGACAGTAATGAAATTTGCCTCACTGATGGACTCTTCCTTTCACGAACAATTTCTCTGTAGCATGAGATACTGTTTGACAGCATTTTACCCACAGAAGAACTTCTTTCAAAATTAGAGTCAATCCTCTCAAACCCTGCTGCTGCTTTATCAACTAAGTTTATGTAGTATTCTAAATCCTTTGTTGTCATTTCAACAATCTTTACATCATCTTCACCAGGAGTAGATTCCATTTCAAGAAACCACTTTCTCTGCTCACCCATGGGAAGCAATTCCTCCTCCATTGTAGTTTTATCATGAGATCGCAGCAATTCAGTCACATCTTCGGGCTCCACATCCAATTCTAATTCTTTTGCTATTTTTACCAAATCTGCAGTTACTTCCTCCACTGAAGTCTTGAACCCCTCAAAGTCAACCATGAGGGCTGGAATCAACTTCTTCCAAACTCCAGTTAATGTTGACATTTTGACCTCTTCCCATGAATCACGAATGTTCTTAATGGCATCTAAAATAGTGAATCTTTTCCAAAAGGCTTTCAGTTTACTTTGCCCAGATCCATCAGAGGAATCACTATCTACAGCAGCTATAGCCTTACGAAATGTATTTCTTAAATAATAAGACTTGAAGGTTGAAATGACTCCTTGGTCCATGGGTTGCAGAACAGACGTTGAGTTAGCAGGTATGAAAACAACATTAATCTCATTGTACATCTCCATCAGAGCTCCTGGATGACCAGGGGCATTGTCAATGAGCAGTAATATTTTGAAAGCAATTTTTTTTTCTGAGCAGTAGGTCTCAACTGTGGGCTTAAAATATTCAGTAAACCATGTTGTAAACAGATGTGCTGTCATGCAGGCTCTGTTATTCCATTTATAGAGTACAGGCAGAGTAGATTTAGCATAATTCTTAAGAGCCCTAGGATTTTCAGAATGGTAAATGAGCATTGGCTTCAACTTAAAGTCACCAGCTGCATTAGCTCCTAACAAGAGAGTCAGCCTGTCCTTTGAAGCTTTGAAGCCAGGCATTGACCTCTCCTCTCTAGCTATGAAAGTCCTAGATGGCATCTTTTTCCAATATAAGGCTGTTTCATCTACATTGAAAATCTGTTGCTTAGTGTAGCCACCTTCATTAATTATCCTAGCTAGATCTTCCGGATAACTTGCTGCAGCTTCTACATCAGCACGTGCTACTTCACCATGCACTTTTATGTTATAGAGACGGCTTCTTTCCTTAAACCTCATGAACCAACCTCTGCTAGCTTCAAACTTTTCTTCTGCAGCCTCCTCACCTCTCTCAGCCTTCATAGAATTGAAGAGAGTTAGGGCCTTGCTCTGGATTAGGCTTTGGCTCAAGGGAATGTTGTGGCTGGTTTGATCTTCTATCCAAACCACTAAAACTTTCTCCATATCAGCAATAAGGCTGTTTCGCTTTCTTATCATTCGTGTGTTCACTGGAGTACCACTTTTAATTTCCTTCAAGAACTTATCCTTTGCATTTACAACTTGGCTGACTGTTTGACGCAAGAGGCCTAGCTTCCGACCTATCTCTGCTTTTGACATGCCTTCCTCACTAAGCTTAATCATTTCTAGCTTTTGATTTAAAGTGAGAGACATGCGACTCTTCCTTTCACTTGCACACTTAGAGGCCATTGTAGGATTATTAATTGGCCTAATTTCAATATTGTTGTGTCTCAGGGAGTAGAGAGGCCCGAGGAGAGGGAGGGATGGAGGAAGGGCCAACTGGTAGAACAGTCACAACACATGCAGTATTTATCAATTACGTTCACTGTTAATGGGTCTGGTTCATGGCACCCCAAAATAATTACAATAGTAACATCAAAGATCACTGATCACAGATCACCATAACAAATACAACTATAATGAACAAGTTTAAAAGACTGAAAATTACCAAAATGTGACACAGAGACACTAAGTGAGCAAATGCTCTCGTTAAAAATGGTGCCAATAGACTTCCTCAATGCAGAAGTACCACCTTTGATTTGTAAAACACACATCTGCGAAGCACAATGAAGTAAAGTGCAATAAAACAAGGTATACTGTATCTGTATAGGTATACCTATACTGTATTAACCTTCAGATTTGGGTTATCTCTTTTGGGAGGTTTAAGGTATTAATTTTTAATCACAAATTCTTTACAAAGAAATTTACCTCCCTCTGAAATAGTAAGTCAGGTAGTACTTCAAGTTTTTTCCTTCATGGAAACAGTTGCTGGAATAGAAAAATCTTTTCATGCTCTAATAAAGATTTTGAATGTAAATCTTTTTCTCCTACAGAAATCAATTATTGGTAATATATCTTCTTCTCTTAGCAAATTAAAGAACTGTTGAATCACATATTTAATACCAAAGAAAACATGATATAATTTAAAAATGTGTTTATACACCAGCTCAAGACAATCAATTAACCTCCATTTCCACTTAAAAAACACAAGACAAAAGGAAGTTTTTCAGTCCACTCTTCAAAAAAGGGGACGGGTGGCTATAGGGGCTAATTCAGAAATTACAGTTGTCCTTTATCTGCCGGAATGTAACTCATGAACTGTCACCCCTTTCTAATTCCTGTATGTTGTCACCCTTATTGCTTTCTTTGCCCTCTTGGTATGTACGAAGCTGCTCCATGAAGCCAGCATTTGGACATATGGAAGGCCTTGCATTTTTCACCAAAGAGAAAGCACTTGTAAATGAAATTTCTTCAGAATTCATCAGGAAACCTATTACAATTGCAGCAGCCCTGGAAACTCCTGCATTACAATGAACAAGAAGCACTCCATCCTGCAATAAAACCAATCAAAAATCTCCATTATTCACTTAGAAAGTTTATTAAATCACTTGTACATTCTTACGCTACTTGAAATTATAAAAATACTCATTTTATCAATTTGTTTGATTCAATGTATTCAATTACCAAAATACAATTCCTTATAAGCAATGAATGGAAAAAAAATCAATTAATCCATCAAAAAACTTCTCTTTCTACCCCCCAGGGATTGAAATGCTTTGATAATGTATTTGGAATTTTGAAAAAGTATCTTTTATCAAACTGAAGTAATCTAGTAAAGTATATCTAAAAGCCTGTGTTAGGAGATACACAGATCTATAAATAAGAGAAAAATCACAGGTAATATACATATAGAAATAAATAAAACCATAGTCATAACACTAAACAGAAAGACCGAAACATCACAGGCACACAGTGTTCCTACAAAGAAACCAGTGTCACTGGCTTGGTAATCTATGTGTAAAATGACCAGAAAGGAAAAAATTTTCTACCCTCAGATATACTTTATTCTGGAAGGGAGTAACTTTAAAAAAGTTAAATTTATGAGGTAGTAAAATGACACAAACAGCTCATGATAATGTGAAGTAGAAAAGGCAATTAGATACTTTAGCATCGGGTCAATAAATGAAAAATGTCTCAGATAACTTGCAAATCATACTTTACAAGTGAAAAGGGACACGGTGCAAGACCAATGCTGATGGGGGTAATACTGCATTAATAATGAAATGATGGAGCTGACGGAAAAGCACTGATCAGGCTGCCTTGTCTGAGGCTTTTAAAAAGTTAATTATCTAAGCAAAATGAACTGAACTGGAAGCACACCTTACAGAATTAGACATTTTAGTTACTTCATTTCCTGATTCTTCTTTGGTACAACACAAAAGAAAGATTGGAATAGGGTAAGGGGGAAAAAATAAAACCTAAACTAAGTCTCTACCCAAAGCATATATTAACAATACCATATTTATAACTCATTGGATCATTTCACTTTTGCAAGGTAGTTTTCTCACAATTAAAAATCTGTTGAAAATTCCTTTCCTAATCTATTGCAATAAATTTACAAATGCTTCTCATTTCAAGAAAACCAAATGATTCACAATAAAATTAGTTAATCTTTTGAAAATCCTCATATCAAAAAGACAATTTCAATTGTTTTCTTATATATATGATTATTTCCAAATTTTAACTGTTTCTGTACAGGATGGGCTAACACCAATACTCACTATACATACATGCAACTTTCTTACTTTGTATAATAGCTCATTTTTATGAGATTAAAGGCACTTAAAAATCATATTACAGTAAATTATGAAAACTGGTAAGGAACTTCTTTTATCTCAAAACAAATCAGTTCAAAAGAAACCTAAAATTGTAAGCTACATAAGAGATATCATTCAATGTCATTTTTAATATTTCCTGACTACATACTAGTCATCAGTTTTGAGTCATAATATGTCTTTGCAAATGAAACAAGCTTTATTTTCAGCCTTACATACTATGTATCCATGGTCGGCTCATGTTTAATAATGTTAAGTATTCCTGGGTGGCTCAGTGGGTTAAGTATCTGACCTAAGTATTCTCAGGAAAGTTATTGGCTTTTTATCCCCTTTCTAGAACTCAAAATAGTAATAATTTAAAAATTTATAAAGAAACTTTTTCTTTTGCACCAGCTATTGTCCTCTGCCTAGAAGGCCTCTGCTCCACTTCTTGGTCTAGCTAATACAGGGTTCTGTTCTAAGTAGTCTGTCCCTTTCTGAGTGAGATGGGGTCAGGGGAATATCTTAGCCATCTTTGTATGCTGTGTCCTTAGTGCAGTTTTAGAGACATAGTAGATATTCCATAAATGTTTGCCAAGCAAATAAATTAATTTTGTTTTCCATTTCCAAAAAGAAAGTGTTCTCTTAAAAATTTGAATCATCATTTTGCTCTGGGCAGATAGAAATCATGTTAAAGTATTTCTAGTTTATCAAGCATTCTTTGTTCTCATACTGTTGTGAATAACTTTTCAACTAGACTGCAAGCTCTGTGAGGGCAGTAGTATGTATGTTTCCCTCATATCTTCTCAGAATAAGTAATTAATATTTGTTGACAGATAAACTGAGCTAAGTTTAGGTCTTTTTTAAATGAGTCTTTTGATATCAAATGTTTATATATATATATATATATATATATATATATATATATATATATATAAATGTTACCAGTAGTTATGTCTAAACAGTGTAAGGACAGTAAATTTTTACTTATCTGTGTTTTTTAATTTTTCTACAATGACATTGTTTACTTACATCATGTTTTTAAAATCACATCACAAAAAATGAGTAATAGAGTAAACATGGAATATCAAATACACCTTTTCATATTAACAAAACCTTCTGCATATAAAAATAGGGAGTCAAGTAAATTTTCATAAAAGAACTCTTAAGGCTATAGAGGTTACCCTACTACTTTCCTCTCATGTGTATTTCTGTCTCTTAATGCAAAAACCTAACAAATAATGCGTGAGGCAGAGATAGAGGAAAGGCAGAGAAACCAAACAATAGGGTTTTACAAGTACAGAAAACAATGAGAAAAGACATGGGAAAAGAGAAGAGAATCCTTTTGGCAGCTGAATATGAAAAGATAAAACAAGTAAGTATAGGGCTAGAAAGGTAGTTTTAAGGCACTCAATTCACTGAGTAATCACATTTAATAAAACCTGTACATACAACAGAGAAAGTTATGAAAGGATTTCTTCTAGAAAAAAGTGGAAAAAATTCAAGAATTCTATTGCTAAAACTAAGTATGTATTACTCTGAACAGCAAAGAGTTTTCAGGGCAAGGAAATATTGGCTGAAATTAGGATTGCAGTATAAAACATAATGCTTGAGAAAATTAGAACAGATTATGGAATTCTAATACATCTTATAGCAGAAACGTTTTAGGTACCTCCTCAGATTCTCTTGGTGCCATCACGTCATGGGCCCTAAGCTTCTCCACCTCTGCCTCCACTTCTTGGCCAACTGCTCCCCTTAGGCCTGATGAGTTTTGCTTGCCTAAGAAGGCCTGACTCTTCCCCCATGGTGGTCACTGCATAAACAAGTAGGCCCTGAATTCTGGACTCTCCTGCTGCTTCTGAATGTGAATGAAAAGTCAGACCACAGACTACTGAGTTTGGCTTCAAGGCAGCTGCTAAAGGAGTGGATTGTTGTAACTTGGAATTGTGGTATTAGTTACCTCCCCGTGGGCAAAGTTTGATCGTGTAGAACAGGAGCTGACAGAGAGCCAGATGAATTCTCTCTTCTCTCCCTCCCAAAGTCTGTACAGTGGCGCAGTTTCTTTGTCCTCCCTGCCGGAATGACTTCAGTAGCAAAGGAGGTACACCTGCTGAGTACCCAACTATTTCACCGGCAGCTCCCTGTGCAGTTGTGCTGAGCAAGGGAAATGCACCATCCTTTCGCAGCTTCCCATCCTTTCCTGGGTCACCTCCCTTTCTTCCCACTCTCACTGCCCATGGATTCCATCTTTCAAATGAAGCACCAGCTCTTAATCTTTGTCTCGGGTTCTGTTTTTTAGGAAACCCAAGAAAAGGAAACTTTTAATTAATTATTACTCTTTCCACATTTTACTTGCAACATGTACATGTCTTCAAATAGGAATATGCATATGGATGATGCCTACGTTTTTCTTTTACCATTTAAGGCATATTCCACATCTCCTTAGAGAAGCAGCTAATAGAGAAACATGATCATGTTTATTTTTAACACTATCACAACTGACACACTGGAATGTTATAATCTAGACCTTATAAAGGTTTTCATAAGAGAAAACACTGGCCAATATTAGGCCTTGAATTAGAAACCCTCCTCCTCTTCTTTTATCTAAATATCCGCTATTAAATAAAGCTGAATGGCAGAGTTAAATAGATTTATATTTTCCAGATAATCTAAAGGAAAGCACCTAGAACAGTGCTGGACATGTAAAGCATTCAGTAAATTTTACTAAATATAAAGAAGGAGGGGCGAGGGAAGAAAAAAAGGAAAGGAGAAAAGGTAGAAGGGAAATCATTACCCAGATTCAACTAAGCTGGATTCTGATGTTAAGTGTCATTAATTGTTAGGTGCCCCAGGACAGTTAACTTTTCTCTGTAAGTGCTTCTACATTCCCATCTACTTATGTCACATAAACTTTGCAAGAATTATATACTAACTAAAAGTGACATCATTTCAAGGTATAATTACTGGTAACAGCCAACCTAGAACCCCAGTGTTAACTTGGATCTATTACCAAAGTTGAAGTAGGACATTATCTGTTGGTCTTTTAAAATCAGAGAACCAATGCACAGCTTCTGATCAGCATTTTCATACAATCTCAATAAAGCAATACACATTTAGTCTTTAGAGCACCCTATAATTTTCTATTATTAAAAATGCATAAATTCACTATCCCTACCACAGCCATAAAAATGCAAATTAATCTTCATAAATACATTGAAAGGACTACAGCAGGATCCATCCCATACTCCATCTGATTATCTTGCAAAGTGGTCAGAGGGCAGGTGGTTATAAACCATCGAAGGAAATCTAAGTACATATAAACACAGAAAAATTCAGTAAGTGGAGAATTTTATCTCCTGCCATTTCTGAGGAAGCTATAGGAAGATGAGAAATTAATGTTAAAAGTAAGTATCTCGGGGTGCCTGGGTGGCTCAGTGGGTTAAAGCCTCTGCCTTCGGCTCAGGTCATGATCCCAGGGTCCTGGGATCAAGCCCCACATCAGGCTCTCTGCTCAGAGGGAAGCCTGCTTCCTCCTCTCTCTCTCTGCCTGCCTCTCTGCCTAACTGTGATCTCTGTCTGCCAAATAAATAAATAAAATCTTTTAAAAAATAAATAAATAAATAAAAGTATCTCATAAAGAGGCACCTGGCTGGCTTAGTCAATAGAGCGTGCAAATTTTGATCTCAGGGTTGTGAGTTTGAGCCCCACATAGGGCACAGAAATTATTAAAAAAAAAAAAAAAAGTACATATCTCATTGAGAGGAAAAAAACTGGACAACTAAATAGTTGTAGAAGTTCATGAAAGACTGTTGGGGGGAAATTTCATAGTGATTCTCTATGTATTCATTACAAAGAGAATAAAGATTGAATAATGGACTTGTATTTTAAAATTTCTGCCTTTGAAGAACTGTGGATCAAAACAAAACTTACCTTCATTTTCACTTGTTCAATAAATTCAAAACATTCTGGAAAATAAGACAGGATATTGGTTTCAGGCAGATCCAATATAGAAATGCTCTTATATATAAAGTCACCGAGGAAAGCATTTTCAACTCCATATGCAACATTGAGAATATGAGTCACCTTCAAGAGAAAAAAAAAAGATGATTTTTAAAACTTAGCTACGAATTAATATTTGGCAAGAGAATGGGATGTTGAGATTTGTAACAAGAATAAACAATTTAAGCATAAGTCACTTGAATAATACGTGCAAGAAGCCTTCTCTGATACCTCCCTCACCAAAAGTGCTAATTCTCTGTATTCCCATAGCACCCTCTACCTGCCCTAATTATAGCTCTCCCCACTTTGAGATTATCTGTCTCCCTGATGGTACTAGAAACTCCAAGAGGGTAGGGACCATGTTTGGTTTATTCACTGTTATAGAGGTAAGCACTGTGAGGGGCACCTGGGTGGCTCAGTGGGTTGAGCCTCTGCCTTTGGCTCAGGTCATGATCCCAGGGTCCTGGGATCAAGCCCCGCATCGGGCTCCCTGCTCGGCGGGGAGCCTGCTTGACCCTCTCTCTCTGCCTGCCTCTCTGCCTGCCTCTCTGCCTACTTGTGATCTCTCTGTCTCTGAGTAAAAAAAAAAAAAAAGTAAGCACTGTGAGTGAGCAGTGACCTGAGCACAGAAAGCACCTAAAATATTTGTTGGAAAAATCAATGAATATCCATATAAAAAACTTGAATAAGGGAAGTATATCAATAACACAAACTTCCCTTTCAGTAACTATTTCCCAATTTCCCTTCACATTCATTATAAATAGGATGGTTCTCAAGAGTGGCGGCACCGGAAAACAGTATGGAGGTTCCTCAAAAAGTTGAAAATAGAGCTACCCTAAGACCCAGCAATTGCACTACTGGGTATTTATCTGAAGGGGCATGTGCACCTGAATGTTTATAGTAGCAATGTCCACAATAGCCAAACCATGGAAAGAACCTAGATGTCCATCAACAGATGAACTGGATAAAGAAGATATGGTATATACAGACTATGCAGCCATCAAAAGAAATGAAATCTTGCCATTTGCAATGATGTGGATGGAACTAGAGGGTATTATGCTAAGCGAAATAAGTTAATCAGAGAAATACAATTATCATGTGATCTCTCTGATATGAGGAATTTGAGAGGCAGGGTGGGGAGTAGTGGGGGTAGGGAAGGAAAAAATGAAACAAGATGGGATCGGGAGGGAGACAAACCGTAAGAGACTCTTAATCTCAAGAAACAAACTGAGGGTTGCTGAAGGGTGGGAAGGTAAGGATAGGGTGACTGGGTTATGGACATTGGAGAGGATCTGTGCTATGGTGAGTGCTGTGAAGCCTGATGATTCACATACCTGCACCCCTGAGACAAATAATACATTATATGTTAATAAAAAAAAAAAAGAGTGGCTACACATTTGAATCACTCAGTGAGCTTTTAAAAGATGTCAATGCCATAGGGCCTCAAACCCAGAGCTTCCAGTGAATGAGTCTGGTTGAAAGGATGGTCATGAAAGATTTTCTTTCCAATGGTACACAAAAGCAAACTTCTACTCCATCTGTGCATTTGAGTTCCTTTCCTACAGCCTATCAAGCATATGAAAGGAGCCATGTGGAAAGTCAGTTAAAAGATTCCAAAAGTAAAATGGATCAGGAAAATAAGGCACTGTTTCTTGTTATGACATGCCTCACTGTTCTTATTCTCTCTCTTAACGTGGGTGTTAGGTTTTGCCTGATTTCTGTGTTTTCATGTACTTCACACATATTTTAGACTATGTGTCCAGCTCTGCCTCTCTTGCCCCTACTACCCTCATAGATATGGCTCTGACAGTGCCCTACTCCTCCCCCTAGTACAGCTGACTGCATTCAGGCAGACACCCAACTTAAACAAGACTAATCAAATTATCTTTAGAAGTTTTCAAAATAGGTGTACAAGACAGCTAGTATGATCCCCAAACTTGATAGCTGTAAGACAGCCACTTTCTTTTAAGTGCTCAAAGAAGCTGAAAATTTTCTGCTCCCAAATAATAATAGAGTAGATTTGCAGAGAGGGGCCATGATGCCTGTGGGAGAGAAGCACCATCTTGCATGGCGTTCTATTCTCCAGTACAGCTACTTTCTGCCCTCAGATTCCAGAGATCCCCCTAAATCATTATACACATTCTCTTTCCTTACTCGGGTTTCTGTGCTTCCCAACCCAGGATTTAGGCTTATGAAAACAGGCCATAGGCCATTTACTGACCTAACTGCCTTGTGGAAGAAAAACAGAAAACATCTCATATGTCTATTCAAGAAAGACTCTTTTTTTTTTTTTAAAGATTTTATTTATTTGACAGAGAGAGATCACAAGTAGGCAGAGAGGCAGGCAGAGAGAGAGAGAGAGAGAAGAGGAAGCAGGCTCCCTGCCTAGCAGAGAGCCCGATGTGGGACTCGATCCCAGGACCCTGAGACCATGACCTGAGCCGAAGGCAGAGGCTTAACCCACTGAGCC